ACTGTAACTGATAAGAAAAGGTCTAAACTCTTAAATAAGAATGTAGAACATTGTTTGATCCGTTTTGATTAGGACTGGTTCGGCGTACTCAGGGTTTCAGAACATATCGAGGAGTAGAGCTTTGCTTTTCTGGTAGCAGAGAGACTAGTTGATAAAACAAAGAAAATATAAAAATGGAGGAAAATGGCGAAAACGTAGAAGCATAGCTGCAAATGCTTCCGCCGACTCAATCAATCAATATATTGAAACCCGTATAAGTCACGCAATGTAATTAAATCTCTCCAATTAAACTCGTTTACTTACAATTAATCTATAACAACCAAGTAAGAAAAAGTCAGTTCAATTTAAAGACACAAATAGACGGTGAATCAACGGCGGTGATTATCGAAACTAAAGAAAAAACTTAGTTCATTAATCTTTTAGTGGCCACTGATTTTGTATTTTACTTTTTTTACTTTACCTTTTATTATTTTACGGTATCACGTACAAACACAGGCATTTCAACCTGCTTGCCACCTAAAATCGACATCGTCATACTTGTCTACAAACAAATTACTCTTTGGTCCATAATGAAGTCAATTATAGAATAAAAATAAAGTAAAGACAGGAAAAGTATCACTCTTGACACAAACCATTTCGGTGCGATGTAGTTACATTTGAATCCGTGACATTTTCAATGTAAAGAGCGTGACACATGACTGAATCAGCCGGATCCAGTGGAGATCTCTGGTAAGACATGAAGTTCTCTTCATAATAACATATTTTGAATGAGCGTTTCTAAATCTATAACTGACAGCAATTTTAGTTTTTTTACAGCATAAGACAGCGGTCAAGACCAACTTAATGGATTTTGATATGTTTCAGCCCGCATGAGACAGTTAAACATAACTTCACACAGAAGATGTTCATTTCTACCTTCGTAATTGCTAACTTCGGGGCAACTTTAGATGAATTTATGGACATCTTCACCTTAACAAAATAACCGTGCTAGTTTTGAGAATAAGCACTGCCTCAAACATTGATTTTGAGCGAGAAATGGAGTAACCACAGATATGCATAAATTAAGTCATATGCACTTTGAACATTGAAAATTAGTAAAGTTCATCGAGCTCCTGTAGCTCGAAAAGACTAGTCGCCAAAAATGTTTTTGTTGTTTTCGGCACACCAGCCCTAGTACTAAACACGCACAGTGGTGAGGACTCCAGATCCCGTTATACTTTTGAGAAAAGCGTCTCGGAACAACAGCACACTAGCTCAAATTTGGAAAGTGCTGTTTGTGTGGTATTTTCAAAACAGCGCAACTCTCCATTGTTAGTTCAGAATTTACATATTTTGCTACTAATCAACAGAAGAGATGTAAAATGATCCATATGTCCAATTTATGCTATTTGAACAAGTGGGTAAGGTTTTAGAGCCTCCAGCGAAAAGCTGAAAATAAACTCTGAAATCAACACTTCTTTGTTTTTGACCGTCTTCGCATCCCGTCGCCAAAAATTTGAAAAAATAGCATTACGAACCAAATAAATATAATATTTGGCGATAGATTAGATCAAATATCTCACAGTAAAAATTTGAGGGAATTCTGTGATCGGCCGAAATTCGAGTGGTCGGTTCTTACGCGGACAGCCTCTTAACTTTAACTTTGTGAGAGAAAAACTAAAGGAAATCTTAACAACGCGGCAAACGCGAGACTGGTTACTCTCACGCAGTAACGGCACAACGCAACCGGCAAACGTGAAAAATGGCGGGAAAAACAAGATCACGTGGTCACTCTTGCCGTTCACGGTTCACGTAGACGCGGTGCTAAACTCTTTAAGGACTTGTCCCTCGCCTTTAGTTTCTTTGCTTGTTTGTTATTCTTTCTCCCTCTATGATCTGTCCAATCCTTCTCACTTTTTCTCATTCTCTATCTTCGTCTCATTCCTCTTCAGTCTTTTTAAGCATAGTTCTTCTTTATTTCTTTCAAGACAGGTTTGAGACGGAAAGAATTGCATTTTCACAAAAAACCGCGCGCGGGGCCATCGAGGTCATATAATGATATCAATTATTATTAAAAACAGGATCATTGGATAATGCAATTCAAGACTTTTTATTGGCTTAGCCATTATGGTATATGAGCCAATATACCATAATCTACAAATATGGTAAGCGTACGCATCAGCTTAAAATTAAAAGGAGCTAAAAAATTTAATAAAATTTAATAATTTAATTTAATGTTTTCAGTAAAACTTACAATTTCTAGAACTTTCAGCATTCCCTCAATGGTCTTCAAGTAGCCAGAATTCACAGAGGCCGGCATATTTCGTGCCTTGTTATATTCTGGAATTTGAATACCAGCCAGTGAAAAGTGAATTAGTACAAATCGTGGAGAGCACGAACCCAAGAGGCTAGCAAAGGATAAGATAAAGGGGTTAGTAATGACGAAATCGAAATAATGTTTAACTAATTTTCCCTCACGTAGATTCCTAGTAGACTTGCAAGTCATAACACAGTTCTTTGAGGCCGTTTGCGGACCCTGTTGGTTGAATTTACAATTCAAAGCCTTTTGAACGATATTGAAAATTATAAAAGTTGAACAAATTACATAAGAAACCAAAGCTGGTGATACAATTTCAATACACCTTATAACGAATTAACAGGTAACAAGAGAGGTATTCCTCATCCTGTCTTGCAAGTAATGAAATGTCAGTGGAGATTGACTCTCACCTTCAGTTTTTTTCTTCTCCTTTTTTTTTTAAAAAAAAAAAAAGAAAAAAAAAAGTTGCGGAGCGCGTTTTCCCTCATTCACTTTTTTTCCCAAACAAAAAGGTACACCGATTACATCGTGGGAAATTCATGAGATTCAATTTGCCTCATATATATTGTTCTGGGAGTCAGTTTAAGTATCATTCATAAAGCTTGTAACAATATCATTACAATGACTTTCACAGTCCTTTATCTATTAATCTGGAGGAGGTGAAAACAAATTGTTTTAAAAGGTTACGTGTTGATGGCAAGAGAAATTTTTGGTGTACAACCCCCGTTAATTTGTCTTTATCTCACACCATTCTAAGAGCCGAATGTTCTGCATCTGTTGCTGTTTTCTGATAGCCAAGCTATGGAAAGCAGGAAGGTGAGGGGGAGGGATCAATAACTCAGAAGTGTTTCAAAAATAGGTTATTTTCGATCTGTTGAAATTCCGCTGAATAGACGTGGTTGTTCAGATTACCTCAAGATGAATTTTGCTTCATCGTAAGAGACCTATACTCGCTAATGTTGACTCCCGCGAACCTTTTTTCTCGAGATTCCCCTATCATTGTTGTTAACAAGTTCTAACAAGACACAGAATAACTCAAAACATCATAATTTGTCCCCTTTAGTCAAGATTAGTCGCAGGTTCTTCTAGAGGCTTCCGCACAGGCGGCGAGGTTGCAAGATACGAGGAGAAGAGCGATGTTCGCTTCACTAACCAGCTATAGTATTGCGTGTTCGCCATTCTTGCCTCACTTCAAAATTAAGGAGAGCGGCCTACTCGCAGGCTAATTCAAAATTCAGGCCGACAAACATTTCCTCCCATTTTCTCTTAAACTAAGGTCTCCTGCGGCCATGCTGGACGGCGAGTTACAGCTGTTTCAATAGTTTTCCAAAACTGATCCTTTAGCGAGGATCAAAAGGGTGAAAACTGAACATTAGACTTTGAACAGTACTTACATCAGATGTTACCGAGACAGCCGAGCTGAAGCATTTTGTCAGCAGGTGTAACAAAATAACCGCTTTATATTAGCTGATATCGGAGTTCTTGAAAAACACGCATTAAATTCACTTAGTAAGTTAAATTTTTGTTTCAGTTATTCTGACGAAACGTGGTTTATCTTTTCCATTCGTATAACCCTGATATTTGGATGGACCTCGCAAACTACTTTCACGTAACAGCCTTTTCTTTAATAATCTATGATTTCATCGCGTGACATTCGCGCCTCATTACATGGTTTTTTTAATAAGTAGTGATTTTGAAAACAATATTTGAGGTGTGAACAATAATTTTGAAGGGCAAGAGTAGTTGCTCCTCATGATCAAGTCTGGACTTTTCCGTTTTGGATCCAGTTATTTATCCGGAAGGCGGCTAAACATCTCGATTACTGGCACAAACATCTACTAGCATCTACTGGAGCTATTTAAAGCACAGCATCATCAATATAATTCTTACTCCGCGGTTTTTCTTTTTTTTTTTTCGATATATTTCACTATAATAAAGATCTCTGTTGATCTGGTCACCGTTTTTTAAAATACGTACCTCAATGATGTTACGTGGAGATATAGCCTCGCTCAAAATGATTGGGATAGAGCGGGATATCGAGAGAGTTTTCAGTATTTCACACGCTTCCCGGTGTTGGCGATGGTTTATTTTCCCTAACCGTACCCGACTCGCATTACCTTGAGATCCAAAGTCACATAACGCGAAATCATCGATCAGGTCGCTTATAAAATGCAAACGGAGGACTGGATTATCCTGAATTATTTTAAAAATTAAATTGCGCTCTTTTGAGACTCTGAAATTGTGAAACATTGGACGATAAAGATCAAATTAAGCTACAGAATAAATATTTACCACTAAACAATGTCTCTCCACTGACCTTGGAGTTCTTGAACGTTGGAACTCTTTCGCTTTAATTTGAGGAAGGGTCAAATAAGATACCGGTACAAAATGTTCACAGCAGAGATAACAGAGGAGAAATCCGCTGTCATAAACAGTTAAGCTTCTTAGTTTTGGACCGTTTTTGAACCGGGAAATGAAACTAAAAGAGAAAGGGTAAACACTTCACTTTTTACTGAAATTCATGTGACTTTCATTCTCGTCGTAAAGTCATGTGAAAGCCACAATCAATGTCAATCAAACGCTCGCTTGTGAGGCACCGGTCATTAATTAACGCCTGTGGAGGGGGAGGAGGGAAAGGAGGATTTTGGTTGAGTCACGGTAAATTTTACCTAATCCCCACCGTGGCTCTGTAATATTCTTGTGTTATGTTCCCCCCCCCCCAATTACCAGTTAATCGGCAGTCAATTTTCTATGGTCCCTCCGTTATACTCTGTTGGCGATGACTGACCCCTCCCCACCGTTCCCCCTGAAAACCATGTGACCCCCCTGGCGAAAAATAGTGACAAACTACTTAGTAACAAAGAGCTCTCAATGTCTCCGCTGTCACTGACCATTTGCTCAGAATTGTCCTTAGTTAAATTGAAAATGAAACAAATGCAGTGAACTATGAAATGAAAACTTTTAGATCGAACTGTAAGGCAAAGGCTATCATGGTATCCTTGGGTTTCACCCACGTGACCAATACCTTAGCAACGGTTACTATCCGCCATCTTGGTGTCCCTCGAGCGTAAACAAACCGTATCTAACGAAGAGTTTATGTGAGAAAGAAGGGATGGTTTTATGCATTATTGTTGGCTGTTCGAGCAAAAGTGGAAAGCATAAAGACTAAGGATTTTTTCGTATAATAATTTGATAATTTTATTATTTCTATAGCGCAAAATTCATTATATATATGATCAAATGCGCTATACCTAAGATCATCACAAATCAAGGGGAAGAACAGGAGGAACTAGAAGTTGTTGTATGGTTCGAGGCTTGCGGCTGTTGTAGATCCTCGATTTTTTGGTCGAGCTTTTCTTTGAGCTTCTTAGCCGATGAGAAATCGATGTCTTTAGCCCTCGCATACGGCACTTCATTGACCTATGTCGGCAAAATCCATGAGCATTTTACCTGAGTGCAAGTAAGCTTGGGGTGTCACGAAAACTCACACCCCGAAAACTCAGACCTCAGACCTCAGACCCCGAAAACTCAGACTCCTCGAAAATTCAAGAGATAAACTCGACTCATGATCACTCCTGGTAATCCCGCGTGTATTTTGACCTTTTGGGTCTTGATCCAACTGAAGCAGCAAAAGCAAGGCCGCAAGTTGCACGTTTCGCAAAATCGTCCGATGGTTGAGTATTAAAACATTTTAGAGTGACACAAGACTTCATTTAGCTTAGATTTACCTCCATTTTTCCCGTTAATTTTGAACTTTTCATTCACAGTTAACGGGATCAAATGCGCTCGCTCCAACATCAAAGTATTAAAATGTGGCGTGATTTTGACGAGCCGAAAGGGACGTTTGTTTACCTTTTTGTACTTCGTTGCACAGATCCTTGTTGTCGCTCTGTTAAAATTCTTAAATATTTCGCGATAATAATGGATACAAACAGAGACTCGGCCCACCNTATCGAGGCTGAGTATGCTCGTTATCTTGTTGCTGGTGTAAGATTTTCCCAGGACAATGTCGGCATCTGAACAACTGCGCTGTCTGCGCACCCACCTCTCCCTAAATTCAACATAAACCTTCATGTGTTATCAGTGATGTGTTGCTACGTTAGGGGAGGGGTAGGTGCGTGGTGCTCAGATTCTCTTTTATATATGTGGAGTCAGTGATGACATTTGGAATTTCTCTTTCTTAATTCTTGATCTTATCAACAGCTCTCTCTCAGCCTAAAGAATGTAGCATAAGTAGCGGGTGTCGTAGCTAAATTATAGCATTGCATGCAAATTAGCGTTACCTTGTGGTGAAACAATCTCCATCCTAAGTTTTGACAATTCGTGATAGTATGTTGTAAGTTAACCCCTTCCACCGTTAAATCAGTAGGCAGACGTACTGTCGTGGAGATCGACGAAACCACTAACCAAGAGGTCGCAAATGTTTGTGGAAGATTCTAAATACCCGATGGGAACGGACGGAGCAACCAGAAAATGGACTAGCCATACGCTACGTATTGCCTTTGAATAAAACCCTTCGGGGTCTAGAAGAAGGAGCCGTCCCTTTGAGCTGTGCAAAACAGTCCTGAGGGTGTGAAGTCCAAGACGAGCTCTCTAAGAGGAACACTTGCGGCAGAGAAGACGCCCTGGTCTAATCTACTGTCGTAGATAAAATTCTTTAAACAGCCAAGAGCATATTTGGTTGGCCTTCATTTCTTTTTTTCTCATGACCCCAATGTTTAATTTAGCAGTGATACGGTAAGAAGAAATAAGTTGCCATGCAGTCACTCGTAAGGGAGTGAGAGATGGGAAAAAGGGTGTGACTCTATCACGTCTCGGGTGGGCGGCCAGGTTAAGCAAGATTCAAAGTTGCGGTGTCCGTTGTTGAATTTTACTGAAACACATTTTAAGAGCACTATCCTCCGCCCTGACTTGTTCTCGCTCACGAGGCGATCTCCTGCTTAAGGTACCACCTATACTACTACGATACAACCAAGTGTAATAGAGAAACTGTTTGACGTTAAAACTGTCGGCCTTGCTAACTGATAAGCCACTAACCATTCAAAGAACTCAGGCTGTTCTTGTAAGTTTGTTATCAATTTTTCCACCTACCACGATTTCCGTTCAAATTCAAGTGATACTAATAAAGAAGAGAAACCAACCATAACACAAATTTCCAGGAGTTGGATATGATATTTACGCATGCGTGCAAAAGGCAGTGTGTTTGTCGATGAGATCGAAATCACGCTACGTCACCACCCAGAAAAGAACTATCTAACCTATGTTGTCTACATTCTCGTGATGTCATCAGCTCTACTTTTAAAGTTAAGGCGGTATGTATACTATGTTCGCAAAAAGAAAACTTCAATTATGGTTTGAAATTACAAATCAATACAATAAAACCAACGGGATTCATTTCAGAAAGGGCCTCAGTATCCCTCAATCTTACCTTTGAGTACAAATATTTCTAATCAAGTTCAGTCTGTCAAGGTTTTCAGATAACCCAAGTTTTAGCTCTGTTCTAAGCAGCTTCCAAAAGGGTTAGAAATATGGAAAAATGAATCATTATTTTCATTTGAGCAAACGTGTCAAGAATATCTCCATACGGTTGGATGTTCACGTGATTGGAAAAAAAGGCGTCGAGGTTTCGCGGGATAGCGAACAAAAGTCGAAGTTTGGTGCCCATTTTAAGTACCAAATGAGAATAAAGAAAATTCGCTTCTTTTGCGTTAATACACACTACAAACATGTGGCAGAAACGGAGCGATCGCTCTTATCAGAATCACAAAAAGAATAACAAAAGGACACACATTGCTTAGGAGCTCGTATCTCTGGGGTGAAAATATGTCATCCACAAAGCAAAATTCTGTAGTCCATTTCAGGTTATTTTGGTTCATTAAAGATACCCCATTCTCTTTCCTTTACAATAATGATTTATTTACCCTATATTTTCCGAAATTTACGGTGAAGACGAAGAAGGCAAAATTGTGTTAACAAGCAATGCAGGTGGTGTTTGCCAAATAACACTCGCCTTCGGTAAGAATAGAAGCACCACAAGAATTAGAATAGAAAGCCAGACAAACGTAGACACAAACATAAGCGACGACTAGAAAATTTACGTTGAAAATTCCTTTCAACAATAAACTCACATCGCGTCTTTCGCAATTTGTTTTGCAACAAAGTAAATGCGTTCATTACACAATGTGCTCCTCTTCCTTCGACATTCTGTCACAACGTGACAGAAAAACAGTTCAGTGAACAAAGCATTATCACTTGCGGATCAGCTCCAGGTGTTACCACCCCTTATCAAAATCATAGCGCGAACATTCGGTTATATTCGACAGAGTGGAAACAGCCGTTATCATCTAAAAGTCAAACTGAAAAACCTAAAATTTCTCAGCAATTACTGTCATAGAAACCGCGACTTTTGTACCCAGGTTTCCAAATGAGTGACCCTTATATGGGCAGCATCCTTGTCAATTAGTTATGTAAGGTTCATTAAGGCCTAATGACCTTTGCATAAGGTAAATGTTCCCACTGAGTTGCCGTTAACCGTTATTGTTTTTTAAAAATATATCTCTCGCGGTACTGTACTATGTCATCAAAACTATAAAGAAACACGAACTAATATTTCAAACTGTATTTCGAACTTGGATTCATACGAAATGATACCTATCTATTGTCTCTTTGATCGATTAACATCTTCCTCTCTCTCCTTTCCTACGAGCTATTTACAGTTTCACTGTTACACTGTTCTTCCAGAACACATTGCCCGGAAATTCTGCCGATTAGAAGCATACTGAATGTATCCTAAAATAATACTGAATTTCAAAGACAAGTTTTAGAAGTTAACCTATGTCCTTAGGATTGCTAAAAATATTTTCCACAACTATAAAGCTCGGCGGACACGGCTTCTGGAGAATCAAGGTCCCCCCAGGTTCGTAGTCATCTGAAATTCTCGCAAGAACGCGCAAATTGTTCATGTTATAGACGCCGGGAAGCGACACCAGGGCGTTGAATTTTAACGTCGAAGTCCCGTTCGGATCTAGTTGAAATCTTCTCGATGTCTGTCCAACCCAAGTGAATGAGCTGGGAGATGATGTAGAGTCTGTATCCTTGTCGAAGGCAACAGTATTGTTTGTGGAATTGCTCGATTCACCTTCTGATACTGATGAAGTGTTTCCGACACTGTGAGGATAAAAATCAAACAATTTTTGTGGAGGGTAGATGTAGACGTAGAGTCCGCCGACAACAAAAACATGCCCATCATAGAGGACTTTGTGTTGTAATATCATAAAGCGACTGGGAGTATTACAACTTTCCCTTGCATTGTTGTTAAAATGAAAAAAAGACTGGAAAAACATAACAGATTCAAAGTGGTCCATTGTGAGTAAACCGTACTGAACAAACCTTGGTACTAGCTCCACAAACACGTGGACGGTTGTTGAACAACAGTTGTGTAACGATAGCACCACCACAAGACGCGCCAGCCTGAGAAAAAAAAAAAAATAAAATAAAAAAGTTCCACGACATTGGCTGAAAGACCTAACGAATGAAAGATTCTGCCAATTTTGCTACGCTTTCGTGTTTTACCTCTGTCTTGATAATCGAGTCATTCTCCTCTATTCTCTGCTTTACCCTCCGCATATATCCTTATATGCTGGATCAAGTTACCCGATAACAAATGTTTGCGGATGAGAAGAGCACGATTTCCGCAGTAATGGTGATGGGACCGTGTCGATTCAAATTCGTTCACTAGTCATGCGAGTGATGCACAAGTACACAAGTTGGACGACCGCGACTGGAGCGCAAGTCCAATTTGTTTTAATCGAGATTTTTCTCAAAAGTACCATCAACTGATCCGTTAAAATAGTGATATTTTCTTATACTCCAGTGTCAAAGAATGGAAGGAAAGTGCACAGAATATGATGCAGGCAACGATTTCCTGATTCCTCGTCGCGGAATCCGAATATTGTCGGACAATTGAAGACAATTGAAGGTCATCACAGACTGGCGAGGATCGTACGAAGGTGTCTCCAATTAAAGAGGATGTGAAGACTGGCCAAGATCGCTCGAAGGCGTCGCCAATTCAAACGAATATGAAGCTCCTAACATGGAATACCCCTTACCTGCTGGAGGAAAAATCGACTTCGAGTGATGCAGGATGCCGCAAGGAGTACTTGACAAGTAGTTCTGAGTTACTAACGCTGTCCGTGTCACAAGGTGACGTCGTTTGAAGGGAGGAGGAATTGAACGGCGGTACCTGAATGAGCACAAGAACACGTTAGAAACCGCCATCGATATAAAAACATAGACGATTATTATTACATCGCTGACGGCAGATTAGAGAAGAAAGAAGATAAAAAGGTGAGTGGTGTGAATAATACTAAAAAGAGGAAATTATGGCCGTGACCCTTACGAAAGGCGGCGATATACGAGATACAAAAATCCCTCAACTGGTCGTGCAACATTGTTTTGTTACAAGTTTTGGGTCGATGTTTCTCGTTTTTTACCTTGCGTGATCAACTTGTCGCGCAACAAAAACATTTGTTGCGGGTTGAAGAGCGTTTTAACGAAAAGTAGAGCACGGGTCTACTTTGAGCAACAAATTTGGCTTTGTTCCTCGTTTTCGTTTGCAACGAAACAATGTTGTGCGTTAAAATGAGGTTTTGTATCTCGTATTTCGCCGTCATGTAGATTTGAAACGTAAAGGAGACAAATAGATGGGTAAAGAGAAAGAACGGGAGATAAAAGAACAAAACAGAAGGGAAGAGGAAGGAACACAAGCACCCTTACCAGTGGATTTGTGACAGCTGACACTGTTTCCGCCAATCTGTTGATATTCACGTGACTTTGGCCCTTGACAATTTGCTGTTGAAAGCCCTTGTCTAGATATGAAGTCTAGGAAATAGAAATTATCAAAAACAGCAAGAGTGAATTATGATACTCCAACGCGTCATTTTCATTCCAATCATCTCTAAAACAGAGCATGTGCCAGCTAGGCTGAACAGTAAGTAAACTTCTTCTCCAGCAACACTGCAATGTGAGATCGGACACAGTGTAGAGAAGAAAATGAACTGAGCCCTTCTTAAGTGATGGTGTCGACACAAGGTTCAGTTTGGCTGTGTCTGATGTCGCACTCGTTATGTGTTAATTAGTTAAAAAACAGAAACATTTATAAATCACCTGCGCTTGGCCTTCTATCAAAACGCCTGGTTGAGCCCCTAACTGGGTCATTTATATTGTGTCCTTGCGTGAAAAATCTCTCCGTTCCTCTCTTCGCCCGCAAGTATTTGATTAACTGTTCGTTACGAGTATACCAAGGCATCGGAAAATAGTGAGGAAAAGCTGGCAGGGGGGTTAGAAAGGCTGCCATACAACAGAATTCCTCATCAATAGAGTAGTATTACTAGCGGTCCATTCGCGCTACAAAAATTGCACCAGGCCTCACCTGCCAGAACACAATCAAACCAATGTCCACTTGTGAAGTGTCGTCAACACTCCCAGAATCAAGTTTGTTGGCGAATTGTTTCTGTTCTTCCCAGGCATCTGATCTGAAGAAAAAGTCAACGGCTGGAGAAGACGAGGCAGCAATCTGCAAATTGACGAAAGCTAAACGTTAGTCATATAAAATATCGCGTGGAGGCAGGGCTTTAATGTGACTAAATACATGACAACGAAAGCACGCTTGGACGAATACACCATTAGCTGATATATATGGTTTTCTTGAGGGTTTCAAACTCACTACAGAGTAACCCTTGAGCCCCCATGATCTGATCAATAATTCCCAATTCGGCCGCGATTACTTTTTTTCTAATATTAGTCAGAGGCATTTGGTTTCAAATCATGACAACACCCCGACAAGTGTTCCTCTTCTTCGTTACCGATTTGCAGGACAAGATATCAGAAAAAAAAAACTTGCATAGAAGTCACTGCTGAGCACTATAAGATAAAAAAAAATGTGCTAAGATAATGGTGGCAAATGTAGATTAAATAGCACATTTTGCCGTTCTATAAGGATCAAAAACCAAGCGTAAAGGTCGCTCGGGATAGACAAGTCTAGAAATGTTTTACAAAAGTATCTTGTTTTGCCTTTCTTTCGTCCTTTTCTTTCTTTTGAAATGTCGTTCGTTTTTTCTTCTGTCTTTCAATACTTTGTTCAGTTCATCTCTCCTACCTCATTTTCAACGAAGCAAACGTGGCTGAAATGGAGTTTCTCTGAAGAATCCGAAGCACCTGAAGAGAACAAAACACAAGACAAACACTGAGACAATAAAAAATAGAACCATAACCGAAGAATATCATTTGATCAGTTAAAAAACCGTGCGCGGGGAGCTGTTGAATGACGAATGCCTGATTTCGGAAGAAAAATGTCACCCGTCTAGTCATGAATGCAGCTCAAAGAAAGTTAGGCTACTGTTATTGACCATGTATTATCTATTTACTAACACAACGCTTTCGAAAATTCCGACCCTAACAGTAAGCAAGACGTTTGTCAGATGTGAACCTCTCTATAACTCAGTGGTCGAGCATCGGGGCACGGATTCTGAAGGTCTGGGATCCATTTCCTCTCAAAAACTCAGATTTTTGCTTTGTTCCGCGCCCATGGCAACAAGAAAAAAATATTTTTTTTGTATTTAATGACCGAGCTCAAAATTTGCCGTCCATCTTAACTAATTACCATGCAATTGCAGAATAAAAGGAGCAGAAAAACCCGACGAACCAAGTAGCGATTGATTGCAACAAAGCTCTTCATCTGATTGGCCAACAAGGAAGCGCGAGTAAAATCACAGAGCGTTGTAACAGAGCAAAGGCAATGCATCCCGGTTTACTTAAGCCCTTTGACTCCTGAGGGTGACCTGTATCTAATTTCTCCTTACAATATCACCCCTGAATCACACATTAAGGTTACAAGAATATAGGGAATGGTCACCAACGAAAGACGTTCTTTACTGTTTAACAAATTCTCCTTGTCAGCACCTTAGGAAATGTATAGAGAACAGTATGGAGAATATGCATGCTGATGTTCGGGTGTAAATAGTTCGACATTCATTGGAAATTGCACTGAAGCGAGCTATTTTCCAACAGAGCTATTCAGACGTGCAACGTTCGACAATAATTCTTGGTATTTACCGCTGTGCTTTGTTGCTTTGAACTGGACAATCACTGTTTCGCCATATCGTAGTTTAATAGCACCCTCTGATAAAAAGAAGAAAAACAAAAAAACAAAACAAAACAAATCATTGTTTTAATATTTACGTCGTGAAGATAACGTTCAATAACGTTCAATGAAACTTGGGCAATAGCGCGGGTCGACAGGGAAGAATAGAGATTATTAACAAAATTAAAACGACCAGCTTGACTGAAGCTGTATTTTCGCTGGAAAGTTTTCTTCATAAAAGCACTTGTCATCCAAGAAGATATTTAGTTCATGCAAGACAACTTGCGACAACAGAATTTACCTCGTTGGTATGAATAACTCGTCAGATCTTTTAACAAGCGCCGCTCTTGTCAGGAGAAAAATTACCAACGAAACTCTGCTTTTAAAGAATTAAGATGCAACTCAAACAACTAGACATGTCAAGAATAGTTTGGTTACCAGCATTGTGGTGGCTGAGGGGTTCCAGAGTCCATTTCCTGCTTGCACAAGATACTTGAACCACAGAGAATTCCGTGTGTTTTCTTGCTACTTCACCCTGTTAAGATTACAAGCAAGGAGATACTTGGTTATGTATGGCGATTATGAGGCTAGCTCCGCGGGCGAACCCTGCTTAGTAATTGGCTACCCCCGAGGGAAACTGTTCGCTTTGTCCCCGTACACGATGAAAAAAAGGAAAAACTCAACGCCAACCGGGTGATCAAAAAAAAAAAAAGAAAAAAAAAAGAAAGCAAATAGAGTAGCAATGGGTAATTAAAAAGTAGAGTCGCATTACGGTCGTATAACCGTCCTGAACACAGTCTAGACAAAGAATTTCCGACGAATTTGCAATGCAATTCTTTGGGCGTCTGATAGATCCTTGTTTGGCCAGCCTTTTCGGCGAAGATGGCAGCAATTGGCCACACTCTACATTTGCATTTTCATCGGCAACCACACGAAAAACTTCCGGAGAAAATCGACCGCACGCTTGGCCTAAGATGCAAAAAATAACTTACCCTGAAGGTCTACTAATAGCTTGAAGAATCAAAGTTCACCGACCTGTACAAGACTTTCCACATCCACAGCAATAACCAACTGATTTTCATCTTCAGAACTTCAAAAGACAAAAATGAAATACCAATTAAGTCAATTTATAACATAACCAAAGTAAAGCGCGTGCTCTGATTGGTCAATTTAGCGTCTCCCATTTGCCCATGGGTGTACGCTGCTGACGTGAGCAAATGCAAAGACTATTTTTCCGCGCGCTCTTGTTTTTTCTGGTCGCGTAAGATTTGTTAAATAAAAGGGAACTCTTTAGCTACAATGTATCAATGTTATGTTATAAAACAAATGGTAAACACCACAGCGTACACTATTGAGTTATGGATGCACTTGGGAGGTTTGCTAAGCACTCAAGAAGCTAGAGTCGCTCTCGGCTATCGCCTCGAGCGACTCTTACGCTTCTTTCGTGCTTAGCAACCTCCCGCGTGCATCCATAACTCAATAGTGTACGCTGTGGTGTTTACCATTTGTT